GCGATACTAGGCCTTGCAGCAATGCCTCTTCTCTGCTTGCTTCGACGTGCAGTTGTCGAAAAGGGGAAGCGCTGGCTTTCGTTTTGCAGCTTCAGGTTTGCTGAGCCGTGCACCCCTTTTCTTTCCCCTTTAGGAAGGTGGCCTGGGAGCCTGTTTTGTAAGGGTTCTGGGGCTATCCCAGGCCACCTCCAAACTAGTGGTGCCCTTCTCCTTTCCTTCTCCGCTGACCCGCTGCCAGCCTGGGAAGTGGAGATGCCAGCCTGCGCAGGATTCCAGATGAGTGGAAGCCAGTTATGTCCCAATTCCACAAAGATTTGGATTCTTGTTCGCACCTATCAGCCTCACTACAGACCTGGCAGACTTGCCTAGAAGTGGCCCTTGTAATCTAAGGTGGCCGCGCACCAGTGATCTTTGTGACCGGTTTGGTTGCAAAAGAAATTCGAATGCTTTTGAGCAAATTCGTACACTTTCATCCGTTCGGACTGATCTAAGCGGGTGTGTTGGGAAAACCGGGGCGCAACTCGAGCGCAATTTTGCGCAACCCGTGCGCAAATTCGCGCAACATTCCGCAACTTCAAAAAGTATACCACTCCGTCCCCAAAGTTCGTACACTTTCTCCCAAACCCGTCCAAAAATCAAATTCGGAACGTTCAAAGTACATGTATACAGGGGTCCGCAGCCTTTTGGTGGTACCAGTTCCAAGCTCAGCTAGCTTTGCAAAACATGTCGTCAGGATCCGACCCTAAACTCGGATCTTGCAGCACTCTGGTCTATGGATCAGAGATGCTGGGGCGGAACACGCAGGGACCTTCGGAGGGGAACTTGGGGATTGACGACATGATAAAGGAGCCTCGTCTAATTTGATGCAATTGAAATTGGTTCTTTGTGAAGTGAGGGCCCACAAACTATAAAAATATATAGATAAGGGGATGCGGGGTGAGTAAACTATATTCGGCGCTAAGGCTCAAGAGGAGAGGCTCGCAACATTGCGAGCTCAACTACGAGAGTGCGGTGGTGATGAGGGAGATGTTGGTGTGGTGCCAGTCGTTGAAGGCCTGTAGCCTGTGCGTGCAGCTTGTTCATCAATCCAGGATTGCTCTGTTGCAGGTGCTCCGATCATTGCGCACAGCACAGGTCATTATCCAGCAGGAGTACCTCCAACCCCTCGAACCTGCCCTCGTGAGCCAGAGCCAAACCAATCAGGCTCTGTCAAGCGGAATCTGGCCCAAGCATTTGTTGATGAGTCTGTTGCCACAACTCATCCCAACCCCCCGGAGACTGTCAAGAGTTCCAGGAAAAGCATGGGCCATGATGCCCAAGACCCGAATTCCTTTTTGAATGCACCTTTGACCCCAAGGTACACACCAGCAAAGTCTGTGGATGGAGCCCCATCCGAACGTCCTTCCCCAAAGCCCAGCCAGACCTCCCAAACACCGTCCCAGCAAAAGTCAAACGAGAAGGACGCGCTGTATTGGAAGTTTTTTGCCTCAAATCACTTCCAAAGGAAATCACTCGGAAGTCATGTGACAGGGTTGGTGGCTAAGGTTGCGAAGGCAATGTGTGATCAAGGCGTCTTCTTGTTCAGCCGAAGCTCTAAAACTTTATAAAACCAAGGATGGTCGTTTCTTGGCCATGATTGTTTGAGGTCATGAGGTAAGGATGGAATTACCCTGTTTTAGAATTCAGGAGCCTCATGTTTGTGCCCATTTTGGAGCATGTGCATTGCCCAGGATCAAAGCTGCGAGAACTCATGCTGCAGAACGGCTGTGACTTCTCGCTGGTCGAGGTTCAGTTGCAGCGTTGGTCGCAGTCGACTATGGGACAGAAGCGGAGTGGCCAGTGGGTTACCAAGCACTGCTTGTTAACCACCCACAACTGGACGAAGAGACGACCTCAGTTTTGTCCTCTTGTTTTCTATTGGTTTCACGCTATGCGAAACAATATGATTAAACATAATTATCATCTAGCTGTTCTTTGAGGAAGATGGTGGAGCATGCGTGGGAGTTTGCGGCGCGAAACCAACTGCTTCGAGTCAACGAAGTACATGGTGAGGAAGAAGCCAAACTAGTGATCGAAGATGCCTTTTCTTTCGATCGCAGTGAGAATGAACGCACGGTGCAAACTATGAACATGTCAATTGAAGAGCCACATCAGCATTCAGCTTTGTGAATTCCACATGAAGAATATGTAAAACAAAGGGGGTGTCTGGGGATTAGGATCCGGATGGCTCTTACTTGCGAGATGCTCCCTGCTCAAGCGGCTCCCGCCTCGACATCTTGAAGCACTTCGACGAGGATGGAGGCCAAAGTCCTGAGGACAAGGCTGCGGTCAGCTCTGGATCTTTCAGGCCATTCATATGTGAAGGCATGCATGGTTTAGGAATAGCGCATCCCCTATTCATACATGTCATCCTGTGAGCATGCCCACGCATGAGGATGTGTTTCCCCACCATCACCGAGAACGTCAGTGCTGTGGCCATACTACCAAAATTTTTGGAAGTCTGTGGTCGCAAACTGGATAGTGCTGCCCCTGTTCTGGACTGCGAATGACTGGGAATTGATATGTCATATGTCGCTCATGCATATATAGATATATATGCCCACACCCTCAACTGGCGAAGGAGAGGTTGGACGGCCTGAAAACGCAGCAAGCAAGGGAGCGGGTGGCCTACACTAATCGGAACTTTTTTTGTGCGAGTAGACCACAGTGAAAGGCTTTTGAGCGTGAGCCCCGCTTAGGTTTTCCAAGCAAATTCAGATTCAAGTTAACTATATGAAGGATGTCTACGCCAAGCTCGAGCATTTGCAGGGTGAATGCGCGGTAACACGAACGGCACAGTGACAAGCTTAACAATACTGAGTCACGAGCGTGGTTCTTCCCACCTTCGTTTTCTTTACCCATGAATCTACCCATACTTCATGAACCAAAGGCTCATTGCCTCGACTTCTGAGGCCCGAAATGCAGAAACAAATTTTGTCCCTATGCGCAGATTGTACCAAGACCGATGTAGCCCTGAACAACTTGGTGGTTAGGTCAAGGACGACCAATTCGAGTGGAAAGAAACCAAATACAATCAAAGATAAGCTGCTTATAATTATGTTTTTCCATATTTTTCCTCCCCCTGCCCAACTGTCCCTTGAACCCAGGACCTTGAAGGCAACTAAGTCTTCAAAGGCAAGTGGCAGTGGGGGGGCGTCCGCAAAAGCGGGCCCAAAGAAGAAGGTGAAAAGCCAAAAGAAGGCTTAGGCGTTGCAAAGCAAGCCATGCTTTTTGGAGTGTGGGGAATAGCCACGCTCGAGTCAAATTCGAGCAGGGGTTTGTTCATCTACATGTCAAAGAGCTTGCCACGTGTCACCTCCATGTGAATGTAAACGGACCCTCGACCATTGTTTGTTTCTTGGATCCATCATTGTTGTGGCAACTCTTTGCAAACCAGTGGATGTACATGTGGGCTGGGGGACCGTCTCAACGTTTGATCAGGAAAAAGAAAAACTACATTGCAAAGCTACACTAATTTGTCGACCTGTTTTTGCCAACGCCCACGCAGGTGTCTCAAGAGGCGACTTCGTGGTACCCCGAAATGAAAGCAAGCGTTCTTTGGAAGGCGGGGTGTATTTGACCGTGCGTGTCCCAATTTCATGGTATGTAAGACCCCCCGAGGCCGTTGTCCCCGATCCTGCCTGTGAGGTGGTGGCGAAGATGGCTCTGATTCCGACCTTGCCGACGAGCTTCTAGCCGGTTTCGAGTGTGGAGCTCTTTGTCTGATCTTCGGTCAGGAAAGGAGTGTTTCCAACATTGAGCTTCATGCGCGAAAGACATACAGTCCTCCCAAGCAAGAGGATCGGCATCAACATGTCTTAAAGCGGGAGAGTGTGGGGTCTGCTCTTTGGAAGCTCTCAATCCCTGACCAAAAGCTACTGCCCAGGCTGCAACCGCCGAGCAAACGGCCAGACTGGCTGCAGTGGCAAACATGAAGTTGAGAAAACGTGGCATCTTGGCGGAAAGGCTTACACGTCAACAACTGAAACGCGCACATAGCGCCGCAGTAAATAGTCTTTTTGTAAAACATTCAAGCAATTTTGGTTTGGATACTCTTAAGATGATGGTCATTTATTGACCGAGGAATCATTGATCCAGCATTGAGCCGGCTTGCCTCTTGTGCAACTTCCAGAGCAGGGGGGTCAAAGCATGCTTGTGAAAAGCTGCACCGTGTGATTTCAAGAGATCACAAGAAATTAGATGTCAAAGTCAGCACCATACCCTTGTGGATACGTTACACCAGAAAACGCCTTGCACAAAGTCTGGTGAATTACCCAGTGCTTCGGATACCCAGTTGGGTTGAGTGCATCTTCAAACATGGTGGCCACTTCTTTTTGGGAGGGCGTACGTTGGATGAGTTGCCAGCAGTTCGCCAAGAGTTGCGCACGTTCTGGCAAAACTACCGAGCTATAGACAAGGATTTTCCTATGTTCACGGAGATGCCTGAAAGCAAGTGGGGTTCCCTCATACCTGTGGCTATCCATGGGGATGAGGGTCGTGGCCGCCTGAAGAACCCGGTGATGGTAGTAAGTCTTCAATCGTTGCTCCCTTTGCACGGCAAGAAAACCAATATGCAAGGGCTTCTCGGATTTGCTTGCTTAATGGAATGCCTTTTTGTGTTTTTTTGCATGTCTATGTGTGACGTTCGTGGCCCGTGAGTACACTATGCAGCACACCTTGCAAGGAACTCCCTGTGCACCAGACTGCTCTACGCCGTGCTGCCTGCGCCATTTACAAAGAAGAGTTTTCACAAGCTCCTGTCACTCCTGACTGACGATCTGAACTCTCTATGGAAGGATGGCATGACTGTTCTTTTGGCTGGAGATTTCAATAGTTCTACCTTTTTGGTTTGGGCCCAAATGCTTCACCAATTTGCTCCCACCAGTTCATGTTGGCCGTTGTATGCATGGGCGGGTCAGTGCAATCTGCCACCGCAATATCCGAGGTGACGTGGAAGGGCGAGTCCCACCATTTCCATTTCATTGTGACAGGAACAAAAGGAGACTGGCCGTTCCTTCGGTCAGCGTACAACTTGTCTTGCGGCTTCAACTGCTCGGACAAATGCCATAGATGCTGTGAACCAGAACCTTGTGATTGAGCATCGCACAAGCTTTGCTTTAAAGCTTGTACTTGTAAGCCTATATTTTGCAAAAGGGCTGTTGTTTTGAGGGACCATTTCATTACCGTATAGCATGCACCAAGGAGTGGTGGAACCTCAAAAAAATGAAAGAGTTCCCAGCTTCCACAACCAACCCGAGCCCATTCTACAGTGGAGATCCCAGCCCTTTGCGGAGTTTGCCTTTGGGGGATGCTAGCCGGTATATCCGGGTGGATCCTGCACACACGTTTGCCATCGATGGTGTTGGCAAGGATTTCCTGGCTTCCAGCATTGTGATCATGGTGCGCGCTGGGCATTTTGGCAGAGGTGCAATCCCACTTCGGTTCCAAAACGCCTACGCAAATTTCTTAGCATACTGCTCTGCCCACGGCAAGGGTACAAGCATAGCTGACTTTGGGCACCGCAGTTTCAAGCTGCCAGCTAACTCGTTTCTAGGCTTTGCGCGTGCACGTGTTAGTCTGGTTGTGTGGGTTTCCTAGTGTCTACTTCTCTCCTCATGAACCCTTGAAGAAAAACAAGGTGACCCGCCCCACAAAACCTCCAAGGTTGAACCAGTTTCCGCGCGGTCTGGGCCGCGGGCACGATGCTGGCGTCTTGGGAGCTTGGCTCGCAGAAGAGGTCCTTCAATTGTGCCCTGCCTCGGCGGAGACTTGGGCAAGCATCGACTCATTCCTCGTTAAATTAAAAACTAATCGGTGGTTGGAAGGTTACGAAAGCCAGCCTTCGTAGAAGGCGCTAGCGGAGTTGTGTCTG